GATAGTAAAACTGCTTGAGGAAACTGGGAAGGACAGGGATCAGTGTCTCAGGATTTACAGTTGAAGCCTAGGTATGAACTAGCACTTTGTGAGTAGTCATACTTGTCTGTGAAGGGGGAAAAGCCCCAACAGTTGCTTTAGAAAGTTGTTAAGATCTACCTGAAGGCCTTGTGCTGTGACCCACCCTGCACAGAGCCTGCCCTGCAGTTCCTGGCTGCTTAGGAGATTGTGAGCTACGCAGTGATTTTGTCTCAGCATCAGGAGAATGTGCTTCCTGGCTAATTGTATTTAAAGTTTCTCCATTTTTTAAGCTATATTGTCATGGTTAACAGACCCTAAGCATTGATGAAATGTACTGCTCTTTATTCCTGTCTGCAGGAACTTGTCATGGCATGCAGCGCTGGAAACTCAGAGTAAAATGTATATACCACACTCTCATGCCTTTATAGATCTAAATAATGACTTCACTGCTGGTAAGTCATGAAAGTCTTAAATACCTTCCTAAAAATATTTATCACTAAGTGCACAATGAAATGTGTTGCAATTTCCTTCAGTAATTCTATGAATTTGCTACTTATGGTTGTTTCATTTTTTTAAAAAATTACTTTAATATCTACAGTTTGAAAATTCTGGATTTAAAACCCAGCTGTCAGAATGAATAGCTTAATAATGTTTTCTACTTCTTGATGATAATCAGAGCTAATGCTCGTTCTGAGTAATGTTGTGCTCAGCACTGAAGTGTTGTTTGCTGCTCTTCATGATGTTGCACCTAGAATTCAGTTTGCAATAGAATCAGGGCTGTATTTTCTTCATCTTGAGCCTGAAAATAGTTTAATGGATTCAGAAGAGTGTTTTCAAGACTGGACTTAAAAATTTCTCTTAGAGATTTCAATATGAGTTTATTCTATTTTCTTGTAGTTAATTTTATCACTGATTGAGAAAATGATAGAGAATCATAGAATAGAATTGACAGGGCTGGAGGAGACCAAGATCATCAAGTGCAACTATCACCCCCAAAACACATCCTCCAGCAAACACCTCCCAAACACTCCCAGGGATGGTGACTCCACCACCTCCCTGGGCGACCTATCCAATGTCTCAAAGTGTTCAAGACTAGGTTGATGGGGCTTGGGCCAACCTGGTCTAGTGGAAGGTTTCCCTGACCATAGCATGGGGTTAGAGCAAGATAAGCTTTTAGGTTCCTTCCAACCCAACCCATTCCATGATTCCATGACCTCTCCTGCTCTTAACCCTTCATCCTGCATGGGAGCTCTCAGGAAGAGGGTAAAGGCTAACCAGGGATGCACCCACACTTCTCCTGGAGCTCACTGAGGGTTAGGCACTGCAAGATGTCAACATACAGATGTCCACCCTGGACCTGCCCACACTCCTTTCAACCTTCCAGCTGTGCCACAGCTGCTGTGGACTCTGGAGCTTCCCCAGCTCCAGCCCGAGGTTTATTCTTCTGTTACTATATGAGCAATCCTGTCACCTATTTATAACTCAGTGTTCACAGATGACTACTGGAGAAAACTTTTTTTCTGCTAGATAAACTGTATTCTTCCTTAATTTTGTTTGTGGGTTTTTGTGATTGCAATGCAGTTACCATGATGAATCTATTTATCACTTGCATACCTGGTTCATACCTCCAAGCACATTTGCATACTGTGCTAAACTTAATTTCTTCACACACTAAATGAATTCTGAAGTGCTTCATCTTCTGCTGGATGTGCAATGTACATCAATTCCTGTATGGTAATTTTTGGGAAGAGAGCTTATCTTTTTCCAGTTTAGTTGCATGGGAATGAGAGAGGAAAGAGTCCATAAATTTAATTAAGATGCTTATAAATGCTGGGGATTAAGTTAATTGCTTTAGCATGCAGTCAAACCTTAATATTCAGTTCTGGCATATTGCTACATGAAGCTGTCAAGTGGAAATTCCAACTGGAAAATTAAATATATGGTTGCTTATCATAATCAGTGTCATGTACTACCTAAGTCTAACACACTTAGCTCTAGAAATCTTTTGGAGTTTTGTTTTAGTGGCATAGTTGAACATTCCAGGTAGCATTTTAAGCCGAGTACATTGAAATCTAAACTCACAGGTAGGCAAAGGTAGGAAGTCTGAGTTGCTTACATAGATCAATCACAGATGGATTTTTTTTTGAGGTTTCTGACAGAGTAGGGAATGTTCAGAGTTCCAGTCAGTGCTGGGGATGTGCAGAAGTTCCTCTATTAAATAGAAATGCAAGTCAGGATCCTTGTGTGGGGTGTTCTGGGAGCTTTTATAGATTCACATCTATATTCATATCTCAAGATGTGAGTAGAAGGTTCTGTGCAGCTCTCCCCATAAAGATCCTGACTTTTACTTGCTCATAGCAGCAAGGACATAACACCTCAGGCTGAAGTACTACATTATGGTGTTATGTGTAATGCTATGTGAAGTGTTAGGTTACAGTAACCTGAGGAAAATTATGAGGAGAATAATTCATTCTGAGAAGAAAACTGGAGGAAATATGACCACAGAGTTATTTTATTTAAAGCAATGGTTTGCTTCTGAGATGGGAATGATAATTTATTTTTTTTACTATCTCTATGAAAATTGAGCCAACTTGGAATGAGACATATGTTGCTGAAAAATAGTATCAGTGATATCTGATATTAGTGACTGATGTGTTTTTCCAAGACTGCTTGCTGCCAAAAGGAAAAGTCACCAGTCAGCTGGTCCTGCCTTCACATTTATGGCAGTTCCCTCACATCAGCTATGGTAACTGCTTGGGGACTGGGGCTGGTGAGGAGCACAGTTCACTTCCTCTTGGGGTTACTAAGCTGATCCAACTTGCCATGCAGCTTCAGGATTGTCAGAGTCCATGTAAGCACAGGGTAAAGGTTGACTCCTCTTTTGGCAGCAGCACTCACAACCTGCCTTTAACCCACCACGAAACTCCACCTTGAGTCTGATTGTGCCTCTTCCAAAAAATATCTGCATGGTGTTCTCACCATGTCTCCTCTAACTTGTGTTGGGCTGTAAAGAGTTGGGCAGGTGACTCATAGAAGTAATCATCAAAGTGATCAGCTGATAGAAATTAAGAAAAAGGGCAAAGCATCCCAACGTGTGTGCAGTACTGGCAGCCCTGGGATGGTGAGTGCACTTGGCAGGGCAGGGTAAGGTGCTGCTGTGACTGTGGTGTGCACACAGCCAGGGCTGTGTCTCACTCTGTGCAGCCTGGAGAGACTTTCCAGAAGACATCTAAAGGCTTCTCCTGCTTGTTCAGCTCTGTTCCCTGTCAGCACAGCTGGGACAGTGTGGCAGAGACAAGTGTAATCCATATGGAGCTATTTCTCCCTGTCTTTTACTGGTTGGCTCAGGTAGAGCTAGGGAGGAGGAGAGAGGATTCTTGTGACTCAGTACTCACCCACACAACCATTCTTGAGTTGGAACAAAGCCTCATTAAGAATAGGTCCTGGTACACACTGAATTGTATTAATTAAAAGGGAGGCATGGGCAGGATGCAGGGAATAGTCTGCACGCTGAGATCGTGTTGTCCTAAAACTTAGTAATCATGGCATTTGATGCTGCTGTGGTACTTTGGGACTGAAAAATTCAGTGTGTTTATTCACTATTCACAGACATGGAGATACACTTGTACCTAAAAGGGATGCAGTGATTTTTGTTTACAAACAAAAAGCCAAAGCACCAAGGACATGCCATCTTTACTTGTTCTTGGTTGGGTTTTTTTTAAGGTCTTCTAATATTCTGCAATGTTTTGGGGCTCTGTACAATATTCTGTAACAGATGCAGCCAATTTCATGATTTTTAGCTGGGTTATTTTTGGCAACTCTATCATTATAAACAGCTTAGGAGATTTAAAGTGTGCTTGACATAAAAAAAATAGAAAAAAAAAATCCTCTCTGGGCTGAGAAGCTTTTTGCTAGTTTATTGCCTAACCCGTTTTCAACCTGCTGATATTAAACCCTCAGAACAGAGCTTTTAATTGCCACACTTCTCCTGCTCTGGGTAAAATGAAGTTGAATTGTTATGATTTCATTATATGAGAACTTGCTCATAAAGATGTGTTTAATCCCTAACAGTGCTTCATGAAAGGCTAACAGTGTAAGGAATTTATAATCCAAAAATCCCCTAACCACAACAAAGATAATACTAATCTTTCTTGGTGAGATATAAACTGGGCTGTTTCAGAGGGTAATGCCACTGCTGGGTTTAAAGAAAGCATCTTCATGTAGGAGTCTCAGCTCCTTATAATGAGAAATTCAGTAAGGAATTCTGAGTTAGACCAGCAATGTTATATAAACCGTGCAAAAATGTGTAGTATAAAACTTTTGCCAAAGGGTCTAGTGTGCTCTATGGATAAAGATAAACTCAATACAAATCTTTCAAACGTCTTCTGCATGCATAGCAAGCATGTGTTGCTCCAGGGAGGAGTATCTGCTTCAGAGTGGCTAAGTTGGGCTGTCTGCAAATGGTCTAGTCAACCAACCTTCCATCACTGCCACTGCTGGTACATGGCCTGAGATAGGTGAGGAGAGAATGTGGTGCCCTTGTCAGGACAGGGCTCTGTGTGTCTGGTAACCATACTCACACTTGGCATTAGTGCTCTGTAACAGCTAGCTGAAGAATATAATCTTGAAGCTAATAATAATAGGTTTATCTGAACAGGTTGACATCAGGTGTATTTTATAGATCAGGCAGTGCAGATGAGCATTTCCAGAGCAGGAATCTCAAGTAAGAGGCCTGTCTTAAAAACATCGTGTCCTCCAGCTGGAAAATGTGCATCACTTGACTTACAAGTGTTGGTACAGTATTTAACTCCTTTGACTTACAGTGAAGGAGGTAAAAAGTAACTTCTCTTGCATTAGTCCACTGAATTCAAAGTGAAAAGGACCTCAGTCTTTTTCAGCAATGTGTTTTTGGATGTGTTAGTCAAGACATGGAGAGAAATGGTCAATTCTCTCTGGTCAGTTGAGTAAACCCTACTAGCAATATGGTTACTATACTGAGGATTTTACACCTGAAGCACAGGAGCTGAACTCTGAGGAAAACTGGGGCTAAGAAAGGTGAAAGGACTTGATAAAGACCTAGAAATGTTGCTGAGATGGGACCTCATCTATTTAAAGCTAGGCTGTACACAAACATATTTTGTTTGTGCCATGGTTGATTTGCATCGCTGCATTTTAGCTAAATGCTGTGGGCCAAGCCGAAGTTTAAATTTAACATGGGGCACTAGGTGAGCACTGGTTACTGTCTTAACATAAGCTCTCATAGGTGTATCAAGAGAACTGTATCTGCAGCTGAAATTTTTGGGATGGTGACTAGGCTACATCATTTGGTTTCTAGTTAGTTACCCTGATTGTTTTTGTCTTAAACATCCTAAGATGCCAGATGCTCATTTAGGGTTAATGCTGTCTTTCCAAGCCAAAATTGTAGTTCTTAAGTTCTCTGAATCATACTGTAAATTCATACTGTACATCTGTCAATACAGCCTTGAAGGCTGTGAAGAATAGCTGATGTATTAAATATTCTGTGTCTTACTGGGTGATGTGATGCCAAAGCTTGGAAATAACTACTTTTACATCTCATGTTGAGCAGTAGCACGTGGTGTAATTGTAGATATTTCTAGAACTGTTTATATAAAATGAAGGAAAAAAATCATAAGCTTGGTTTTGGGAAAACTAAAGTGGAAAAATCATTAGTCAGAAGCAGCTTGTTGTAAGCTAATTGCTAATCTCTTTCCTGATTTCTGGTGGTTAATTTTCTTCTGTTGTTTTGCTTTGGGAATCTAGAAACCTAATGTACCAGAACGTTCACAATGTGTTTTCTTTTTGATTCCCACTTCTTAGTCTAAATGTGTACGTGTAGATAGATTTCAGCTGGAAAACCAATCCTTCAAATCATAGGTGATGCTGCTGTTGCAATGATTCAAACCTGCATGCTGAAGACACTGCAGTGCTTGGTGTCAGACTCTGGTTATATTTTCCATGAGTTTCCTCTTGATGGAAGCTCTTAGTCTTTCTGCATATATTGTTATCATCAAGGCTGTGTGTTTAAAAGTAAAGGCACTTTTTTCTCCCCGAATTAACTTCTGAGGTAAATGTGAAGTCAAGCAGTAACTTAATGTTGCTCATACCCTGGTGACTTCCAGAGACAGTTGTAGATGCTGAGGGTTTAGCTGTGAAATAAAGCCCTCTGACATTAAGCAGAAAGGTCACATCAGTCATTAGTGGAGTGAACCCTCCATCTATAAATAGTACCAGTTTCTGTAACACTCAAAAGTGGCAGAAAACGCTGCTCTCCAGGCTCTAGCATGTCTTAGCACCAGTAAATATATACATACACAAAAGCACTGAATTCAGCATTCACTCTTAGAAAAAAAGGAAAAGGATTATTAGAATAATAGACAAATTCACTCTCCACTCACTTTTTAGGCAAAGTTAGGAGTAAAATGCTAATACAGAATCATTTTGTGCTGCAGCATATATCAGATATCTGCTGTATTAAGTGTTTGGTATATATTTAGGTTGGTTTTCAGTATTGTGGTAGCATATTCCCAGGCTATTGAACTTGGTTGATGAGTGTTCCTGTTGCTTATGTTGTGTTTATGTCAATGGTACACGGACAGCCACAGCAGTGAGGTGAGAGATGTCTGCTGTGGACAGTGTTCCTTTGGGGAGGAGATGCTTGCAGGGAGTCTTTGCTATGGCTGTTAGATATGTATAAATTGCACAGGTTGTTAATTGTTCCCTCTCTCATATGCTTTTTGATGTCAAAAACTGAAATAATAAAGCCAGAGAGAATCATCAAAACACTTAGGTTGAACGTAACCTTTGGAATTACCTGCGCTGGAACACTGTTCCAAACAGGGCCTGGTTTTCCTCATATATTTCGATCACAAACTTGGGAGTAAACATCTGTAATTCTGAGCTATACAAATTTGTGAACAGTTACTTGGAGTGTTACTGCCTTTTCATACTGCTGCTGCAAAGAAATGCTTTGGGTTTGGTTGCTCTTGATGAAAATGGAAAATGACTTGTAAATATTAAGTGTTCGATCTGATTTCAGTGTAAGAGAGTTTAATCCCAGAAACATGCACAGGAGCATTGGAGACACAGCTTCTAAGAAGGCTTAAGGATAGAAAGGAGGACAGCTGGCAGTAAGGTACCAGCAGAATTGGTTCAGTGGGCTCTAGAACTAGAAGTCATGTTGCTGTACCTATGTTAAGTTGTCCTATGGGAAATCACAGCTTGCTGCTTTAATGTAGGAGCAGCATGGCATTAGCTCCTCTACACTATTTTTGGAAGATTATCTGCTATCTTTGCCTGCCTTTGCATTTTTTTCAGTGCAGTGTGATATTACAGCAGCCTTGGAACTGCTCTGGTGTGTCAGTTCCATTCGTTCTATATGATGTTATGTGCCTCAAGTCAGGAAAAAGGAGAGATGCAGGAGTACTTGGAGAGGAACAGAGTGCAAAAGTCATTTACTAACTTTACAGAGAAGCTGTTCTGGGGGTGGGAGGGAGTTCAGTGCTAAACAGGCATGCTGCTGATATAATAATCTTTAAGCTACTGTAGACAAGGCAATGCAGGGTCCTGCACCTGGGCAGGAATAACCCCATACACCAGGACAGGCTGGGGCTGACCTGAGCAGAGCAGCTCTGTGGAGAAGGACCTGGGGGTCCTGGTAAACAAGAAGCTGTCTATGAGCCAGCAGTGTGTCCCTGTGACTGGGGAGACCAGTGGACTCCTGGGGTGCATTGGGAAGAGCAGTGCCAGCAGGTGAGGGAGGTGATCCTGCCCCTCTGCTCAGCCCTGGTGAGGTGCACCAGGAGTGCTGTGTCCAGTTCTGGGCTCCTCAGTACCACAGGGACACAGAGCTCCTGGAGCAGCTCCAGTGGAGTTCTACAAAGGTGATTAAGGGGCTGGAGCATCTCTCTTATGAGGACAGGCTGAAGGAGCTGTGCCTGCTCAGCCTCCAGCCTTGAGAGCTGAATTTCCAGTGTGATATCACTGGGTGAATTATGTCTTGTGTTGGCAGCAATGCCATCTTGTCTAATTCTGGGATGGAGTCACAGAACTTGTATAAGCACAGCATTACCAGTGGGAATGCTGAGTTACTGCTCCCTGAGAGCTCTCCTTGCACAGGGGACTGGGCAGAGAGAATATCAACTTAGCAGCTGAAGGTGTGAGGTCAGTGCATGAAACAGAGTCAGAGAGAGGGTGGAAAAAGGTTACAGTGCCAACAAAGTGTCTGTGAAGGTTAGGCAGCCTGGTCCATTTGCCAATCCAAATGCTCATCATTGGCTGTGTAGTTGAATATAACACTTGGAGCCTGTTGTGGTATAATCTGTGTGCAGCACAGCCCATCACTACTTGCAAATTGCAGTACCAAGTACAGCAAGGATGTGCTATATAACCCTACTGAAATACTTACTTAAACCTCAGAAATGTTTTTCAAAGGTTTAGTGACATTTTGGCCTGTAGGAAAGTGAGTTAAGGCTTCTGTTATCCTATGTTTCTCTTTTTTCCCCTGTGAATGTATTACCTTTTTTAAACGTTTTTTTTTTCTGGTTTGTGTCTGGTAGTAATTCCCAGTACTGCACAAGTTCCTTCTAGATGCAAAGTTAAAATTTCAAAGTATATTAAAGTTTTCTGTTACATCTCTTCTGTCTTCATATTATTTTATTATTTTTTCTCCTACCTGCATGAAAATACCTTAAGTATCCCTGTAATTGACTCCAAAGGAGTTCTCTGCAATGCTTTTCATGTGTGTACTGCAAAGGAAATTGCCATTTCAGGTGTTCAGAGGAATAAAATTAAATGGTACAACTTTTAAGCTGTAAGCAAAATCTTTGGGTTTGTGTGTCTGTGGTTTTTGTTTGGGGTGTGGGTTTATGGGTTTGTGGTGGTTGATTGTTGTTTGTTTTTTTTTTTCCCTGAAACAATATCCCTTATTGTGCTGTTTGAAATTCCCTGTACAGCAATCTCCTGCTTATTCAGTAAACCACCTCAGGCTGAAGCATTAATATTCTCTTTCTCTTTTTTAATTCTTTTTTTTTTCTCATGAAAAGTAATTGTGTTCTGTCTCGAGTAGAGGCAGTTGAAATTGCAGGGGGAAGGAGCCAGTGAGAAAGAAAACAAGTGCTGAAATCAAAAAAAGTAGTTCTCTTAAGTCTGGATCTCTTAACACTTCATTTTTATTTTTTTAGTTCCTTAACCCCCACTTGTTTTTTTTCTTTATAAAAGCTTTTTCTTCCCATTTTGCTAATTTGAGTGCTTTCCTAAATGGCAGTGAATAAGCTCCTCTGTAAGCAGCATTGCCTGATAAATCCCCTGAACCCTCTTTTGTTTTGTTTTGATGTGTACGAGAATTTTGGTGTAAAGGAAGCCAGAAATATTTCTCCATCTCCTTTTCTCCTCCTGCCAACAGTGTATCAGTAATTCAACATAGCCAAAATAAAAGGATAGTTGTGAGGATTTTGTTTCATTTTGACTTACTAAAAATATAACTGTGTATGCTTTTTTCTTTGCTTTGAGCATTCTTCTGTCTTTACTACTAAGAAATGTTCTGGGTGCACATATAACCTCCAGCTCTGACTAGCTCAAGTGAGGCTAACTTGATTTGTGTATTAACTACAGAATGTGTATTTATTTATAAGGAAGAGTATGAGGTATGAAAATAGTTTTGAGGGCTGTTTTTAATCTCTCTTGCTTAATATCTGTACATCTAAACATGTCTGGAATATAATATAAAATGCAGGTAATGTTTCAGAGTAACCTAGGTATCTTTATTGAGTGATCAAATATTTGTGTGTGTAGCCTGCTGTTCAATATTTTATTTCTCTTGTATTTTTCCTTACAGATTTATTCCTTACTACATCACCAAATTCCAGAAACATTCAGTTTGAGACATGGGTAAATAAGGTAAGAAAGAAACAGAAATAACCATCCTGTTGAAACATAGACAAGGGCTAAAGTAAAGAGTCACCTGAGAGCTGATGTTGAGGCACTAACTGCACTATTGCATTTAGAGTGCAGAATATTCCTGGACTCCTTTCATTCAGCCCAAGTCCCTCTGCAGGTTTTTGGCTGCTGAGCAAATCAGATTGCCTGCTCACACCTTAGGGCTCCTGGGGTGTCAGCAGCTCTGACACTTTGCATTCTGATTTAGAAATAAAAGGCTAATCAATTTGTTTTCTTTCTTGGTGTGTCAAAGATTTGGGTTTGGTTTTTTTCAGTGAGCTCTCTTAGATATATGACTCCAGATCTTGGGTAAGATTTTCTGGGACAAAGGTTCAAAATGTCACTTCTGACTGTTACGTTATGTGTGCAAGTTACAGTTGAGAAAATCTCGAGTCCTGTGTTAACCAAGTATTGTAAATGAAATTCAAGGTCATACATATAAAATACATGTATATGTGCATGAATCTTAAAAGATCTTAATTGATCCATTAAGAGCTGTTAAATTGCTCTTGGTAGAACGAAGTAATTCCTTTCATTGATGCACTATAAAATGCTTTATAAGTATTTCCCTGTATGTGATATGTTCCTCATAACACAGCAAAAGATCTGGAAGATTGTATCTGAATGTTACCGTCCCTGGATTTCCATAAGATTCAGTGAAGGATTAGAAATTTGGACACTCAGCCCCTATTTTCCAAGAGTGCAGGTTTTTTCCACAGCAGAGATGTCTCTCTATTATCTACTAAAGTGCTTCTTGATTGATGTGTATTTTCTTTGGTTCAAAAGTCAAATTTTATCATTTAGTCTGCAATTCAGTGTTTCAGTTGTCTTTGTCCTGTTTGACAGGATGGGAACTTCTCTAAAGCTGGAAAAAGTAAGGAAATGCCTCCTGGAGCGAAAGTTGTTGGACAGTCTGTGTTTGCAGATTTTGGTGAGTTTTATTTTTCTACACTATCCTCAGTGGTTTGTTCTCTTTCATACTTTGGTTAGATACTCTACATTGCAGAACAAAGGAAGATGTTTAGCTCTACATGTTTTTTATGTTTCTCTACTTTTTATTTTCTTCAGGGTGTTATATCTATTTGTAGATCTTGGAATATCTGGGAATAATTATTCGTAGGTTCAGCATTGGCTGTGCCAGGACATTCTGCATCAGGTGTATCTACTTTTTGTTGCTTTGAGATCTGGTACAGCATCAAACTTGCTTCTATCAGATGTGTAGTTTGTTCAATGATTTTATTTTTCTCCTAATCTGGTTCAGAATATGTTACCTGATTACATGTTCATAAATTCCTCATTTGTGCAAACCACCAAAGACAAAATATAAAGGGATTAAAATGACTTGAATGAAGATAGGTGAAATCTTAGTGGTTGTAATTGAAAGTTCTGGAAGGTTTTGGACCGGGAAAAATTTCATTTATATGTAAATCTATTTTTGCAAGAGTTAGTGAAAGCCTGTATTTTTCTGTTGGAACATACTTTTCCAGTCAATTGTGGCTTATCAATGTGTGTGTCATGTTACAGGGAACAGAGAATGTTGGGTTTGCAGTCCAAAAAATACTACTTTCTATGCACTAAATTTTTCCAGCCCAAGGGAAAGTGCTGCAGGCCTGACATGACTGAATGTAAATAACTGCTGAAAAAACTAATTGTCTGTGTTTGTAAAACCCACTTGTTGTTTGTGAGACTGAGCCTGGGTTAGCTTGTTGTATCCCTTTCTTTGGAGAAAATGACACTTTATAAACTTAGTAGACCCAGAGTGTGACTCTCTTGCTCTGTGCTGCCACTTAGAAGTGTTCTGAAGAGCTCTGGCACAGCTCTGGGTGACATTAACTAGAGACACCTCTGCCAGGTGGCTAATGATCCTTGGATCAGATCTGCAGGGAATGAAGTGAGGTAGAACCTGAACCATGCTCGGGTTCTTCTGTCACTTGTTTAACACATTTTCTAACAGTCTTTGACAGAGTTTTTATAAAACCTTTTGCTGCTTATCTACAATTTCGAACACTTGTCTATGTAACTTGTGAAGAACAGAATACTACAGTTTTTGCAGTGAAAAAACCCTCAGATTTGCTGGGTGTTTTGTGACCATTTTCCAAGCTGATGTCCTGAATAATGTGCCTTAATAGGTACTAAGTAGGATTTTTTTCTCTAACAATGACACTGTGGAAAACAGTCTTAATGTAGGATAATTTTGTCTCTATGTTAGGTAGCTAATGAGCCCAAATGATACATCATCATTTTAGAAATTTATCGTAATTAATGGAATTTTAATCAACCCTGGGATATCTGTGCAAAGAGGAGTGGAACTGTTCAAATGACAAAGCTGAAGTGTTGGAAATGTGAGTCAATGGAGTGTGCAGTACACGGGTTGGGCACAAAAAAGGTTGGGAAAGGAAGTGACTCTGGTGTAGCTGAGCCACAGGGGCCACTGGTTTGGAGTTTTATCATCTCCTGTTTCATGCCCTGTGCTGCTCCTGATCAAATCCACAGGCACAGCACTGGTGTGAGGCAGTAGTGGAGCAGAATAAATGGGAGAAAGGGTGTGCAGGGAGTTAAGGAATGCCTGCAGATAAATTGAGAGGGACAGCAGATGGGGCAAGGCAGATAGAGGGGTGAGGGATGGTCAGGAGGAGCTGTGGGAGGAGCTCTGGCTTTTCCCAAGCTGCTTCTTTGGAGCTGGTTACCCTGAAAGATCTCAAGCACTTCAGCTCTAAGGGAGAACACCCAGATCTTGCCATGTAAGGGTCCTGCTTCACTAGGGGGCAGCTCCTGGGACTACAAACACCTTCAGAGAACATTTTTACATTCTTACTTATGTGTTGCCTGCCTCTATTTTTCTTGCCCTTCCTTGGCATTTTCTGTACCTCACAGCTGATGTTACCAGCTTGGCCATTTGCTAAAGGTCTCAAAGGATTGCAGATCTCTGTGCTTTCACTCTCTGCCACTTCTCATTTACTTAACTTCGTGCATATCAGACCCTGGAGTGATGTCAGATCCAGACATGAGCTTGGGGGTATGTCCCCTGAGCTGCTGCCTCATTTCCCCCCTCACCTTCCTGTTTGTACCTTTGCTCTTCTGCAGTCCAAGATTCTGGTGGACTGATCACACCTACACCTGAGTGAAATAAGTGTTGTTTCAAAAGGTAACTTGGTCTAACCTTCTTTCCTGCTTCCACAAGTTGTATTTGAAGTACCTTCCCAGCCATGAGTATTTACCTGTCATCTGAAAACAGGGGGGAGCTGTGAATAAGATCCTGACTGAGAACCTCCAAAAGCAATTATTTTGGGGTATGATTTCCTTTCTTAAACTAAGCAGGTTGAACAATAGCTATCCAGTAGAAATTATTTGGATAAGTGGAGTTGGCAAAAACAGCAATTAAGTGACTCATGAGCAGCTGTCACAGATGTTAGTGTAATCTCAGTACAAGTGTTCCTCAAGTACTAAAAAAATAGGGTTTTTTTCCATTACAGAGATACACAAATGTGTGCTTGTAAGCATCTGCATGTGTCTCAAGGTCTGCTGCATTTCTGTATATACTGTGGGTGTGTATTCTAGTGGAAAAATGTGCAAAAGCATCTGTGGATTTATGGTAATGTAGTAGACCTTAGATTTTCTGTCTAAACTGGAACCTCTGTAATAAGTAGCACTTCCCTCTGGTACATGATAGTGATGATTTGTACATTAATCTGGCCAAAGGACAGGGAACCATTGACAAGTTTGTATTGCCCTTTTAAAACTAAATCAGAAATGCTTTTTGACATTTATTACGAATGGCATTTCAATTGATTAAGGTGAGCAGAGTTGGGCACTGGAGAGTTCTGCACTTCCTTGGCTGACACATTGCTCCAGACAAGTAAGAGCTCTTCATTATTACTTTTTCTATTCTTCTCATGTCACTATGGTAATTGCAGTGCAGTGGTTGCTATAGCAAAAATGATTAATCCTCCGTTGTTGTTATCTGTTCAGTAGCAGAGGCTTTTTATAAGATCTGCTGCTGCTGTCTTTAGTGGGAATCAGAGATGTTGTCTGGAATCCTGATAAATACCTGCAGATGTAGAGAGTTTTAATAATTGTCATGTGAAATACTGGGCAAATGTTATATTTGGCAAATGAATTTAAGGATTTCAGTGAGATAGTCTGACAATGACCATTTTGGGGGATGAGAAGAATGTAAACCATATTTTGGACACACAGTCCTGCTATTTTCATGTTGGTTTGAGGATTAATGACATATGTCTTTAGTAGTGACTCAAACAATTAGCATAGGATATTGTGCTGTTTATACAGTCCATTAGTTCACTTTAATAAGAAATTAATGCCATAATTGCTGCTTAACTATTACAGGTTCAGTTGCATACTGGAGATTGATTGTTTGTGGCATTGTTCAAGTTTGATCCAAGTCTTTTAGAGACCTGAACTGAAATTTTTCTCAAACTTAAAATCCAGTTATCCAACTAATAATCCAAAGAGAATCTTCTTTGTTCTTCTCCCTACCAAATAATTGAAGTGTTTTATATATGTTAACTACTTGCATGACCTGTGGTAGAAATTACCACTTTTCTTGTAGGAAGTGAGAGCTCATTATTGCCAGTTAATTGTGTTTAAACAGGAAAACACAATGCCTAACCTTTGAGTCTTTCTAAAGCCATTCCTTGCACTGTGCAAAACGCATTTTGTTGGAAGATTTTTGGTTAAAGAAGTTAATTTTCCTGCAGCTGACAATATCTTACATGTGCTGCTTGTTTGTCTGCAGTTGCATTTTGATTTTATACCTTTTAGTCTTGTGTGTCAACTTCTTTCTAGCATCAGAATTGTTTTTTCCCTTCTCTTGCATCCTCAGATGGAGTAGCAGTGTATCAAAGGAAAATCTGAATGGTGCATTTGGGTAAATAACTTCTTTATACAGCAATTCTCTTTTGAACACTGTGTTGTAAAAATATACTGGTGCTCCTGTAGTCAATAAAAGGATTCTCTAAGAGCCTTAAAGAGCAGGGAGACAATGCTTATGTGTTTGAAATGCTCTGCATATGAGGAAATCTGTTCTTACTGTCACCGCTTTGGATGGAAAAGATATAAAAGCTGATGGAAACAAAGAATTCAGAGATACTTTAGGTATGGAAGAGGTTGTTTCGGTGACAGATGCATCTCTGAAACAGCAGTGCATAGAGACATACCAAGGTAACTGCCACTTGTGTTTTGAGCCTATAGAAACTAAGTCTGTCTCGTTTGTTAATTGGTAACCAGCAATACTGTTCAGTGACACCTTTTCATCTGAGTATTTGTCCCATTTTTTGACACTTCTTTCTAGAAAAAGATCCTGTGTTGAGGTGTAAAGCTGTAGCTGTAAGTGTTACTCCCTTGCAGATCCTTTGAAAAAACAGACAACAAAAAAGCCCCAAAGAAAGGAAGTGCAAATTCCTGTTTGTTGTGGGTAGATCACCTTGTTGCACACACCAGACTGCCTCAGTAACTTCAGCATTCATTTTTGCAGTCATGGAGTGGATCCAAGGATGGGACAGACATCAAATTGAAGCTATTGCATGAAGTCCACCTAGGAAACTTCTGAATACAGTGGTTTCCAACTCATCTGTGATCCCTTCAGGAGATTATTTTTCCATGAGTCTCATCCCTACTGTTTGTCCCTATCACATGTCATTTGGTATATGCCATCTTTTCATATCACTCCTTCTGCTGTTTAAAATGCTGCATTTCCTGATCCTTAATGTATCTGCCCTGCTGTGACATCCACAGACATTCCAGATTTTGGAGCTGTTTTCTATCCCCTTGCTGCTAAACTGTACCTGGTACAGTTGTACCTATAGTGGTATTGACAATCCAAGAGATTTTTTTGCTTTCCGTGAATTAGTACAGGATATGTAATATAATAAAGATATTGTTGGAATTAAATCGTCTAATTTAGCAGGAGCA